CACCGAAATGATTACATCTTTTGATTTTTAAAGGCACCCTCGGTATATTGCTACTTTATTCGATAAAAAATGACACTCTGAATAGAATGACATATCATATGTCAACTTTTGACATTGTCGCTTAAAACATATCCTATTTTAAATTTCAATCCAGGGTGCCATGGTGTTGTTAAAAACACTAAGTTTTTAATCAAAGGAGCCTTGGAAAAATAGTTTTGATCGTCTAATAGGTTTCGTGTCTTGTCTAGGCCGGTTAAAAGATGTACAAATCGTATTTTAATCATACATATGTCAATTTTTTCAAATGGAACAAGGGACTCATTAGCATATTTGGAAAAAGCATTTTTATGAATATATTGATACCACACACTTGGTATTTCGAGTCAAATTGTCGTTATGAACCGCGTGTTACAATTACAATTAAACCATATGCGAAAATGTCAAAAGTTGACATATGATATGTCATTCTATTCAGAGTGTCATTTTCTATCGAATAAAGTAGAAATATACCGAGGGTGCCGTTTAAAAATTAAAAGTTATAGTCATTTCCGGTGAAACAGGAAGTGACCAAAAACAATTGAATGCGTCAATCAATCCTAATTTATTTCATATACTAACATACTAAATCTTGTTTTTTATTTGAAAATATAAAAAAAATTATGGAGATGAGCCACTTTTGAGACGCACCCGGTATAATAAAGACAGTACCGAGTTAAATAAATGTAGTTTTTATTTTATCCACTTCCTATCACCTTCCTTGCTTTAATGGAACAGATTTATATTTTCTCTAATTTACATAATAAGACATCACTTAACCAGAACAAAAATTACAACAATCATATTTTTTCTCTCCCCTGTCGCCGATTCTATTATATCTGTGGAATAGATCCTGTTTTGATTAATATTAGGGGTTGTAAATGTTTGACTAAAATTAATAATTTATTATTAATTTCAAAATTACCTAATTTCGATTATAAAATTTCTTCTATAACGTGTATTTTATTATTTTTATCCTTTTTGGACTCTAAATTGTTTTTTCTAAAGTTTTATTTAAAAACCTGTCCTAAATCTTAATAAAATATAAAAAAGTTTAAATACGATATATTTTTAATTTAATTATAGCTTCATTAAAATAAAAAAATTACCCGGCTATGATACGGAGAGTTCAGGTGTACTTGAGAAACGAAAGACAGTGTTGTGTTTCTCGGCATAGTCGTCAGGGAACGACCGTTACGACAGAGACAACCTATCTATCGCTCGTGTCGCACTCGTTATAACCTAAAACAATAACAAAAACAATAACACAACAATAACAAGACAGTGTCTGACCGCATGTTCCAGCTATTTATGAATGAGATGCTCAGTCTATATTTTATTTTAAGTCTATGTTATGGAGGCTTTTAAACACTGTAAGACATTTGTTGGGTACTCCGAACTTTTTCATGTACTAGATTATAGCTAAAATTTCAAAATTATTAGAAAATGTATATTTGGTATAAATAAATGGCATAAAAATTAGATGAAATGGCATAAAAATACTACATATCTGATGGGATATAGAATGGATCTTTTTTTTGTTTCCTGTTATAAATAAAGAAAGTGCAATTAATAGCATCTCATATTGTCTAGACATAAATATCTTACCTTTATTAAAAAAAAGAAAATTATGTATTATATTAAAAATTTAATTTAAAATAATGTAGGTATCCTATTAGAAATAAAGCTTTTTATGATTTTATTACTATTTTATAGTATTATTTATGATTACATTATATTGAAATATACTGCATTCATAAAATTAATCATTACAAATAAATCATTTTTAAGACTGTTTGATTAAAATATTACATAGGCGCATTTATTCTTAGTTTTTAAGATAAATTTTATTATTAATTATAAAGGATTAAATCATTAAAATTAAAAAATAACTAACCAAGGCTGTTTTTGTATCTATATACTATAAAATAAATCATATGTTGTATACTCATATTTAGGACTTTTGTTACTAATAATTGTACATAAATCTGGCTATGTGAAACTTGTTCTCTTGGAACTTGTTAAAAAGTTAATTGTGGTACTTAAATTGAATATTTATTGCTCTAGATAAGAAAAAAAAATAAGTTAAGGTCTCCTTTTTGCTGCTAATCTGGAGGGGGCCTACCTTGTTTACACGGTATTCGAGCCACGGTCCTCAGCCATATCATTGTCAATGACCTACCGACTTGGCGAGTGTCTAAATCAACTCTTACTCACGAGGTATCCGATCTCATCCAGCCTCGAACCGGCGTGAATGAGCAGTGTGTGACAATATATTTTACACTCTTACCATAGAACGACAGCACGACAGAGTTTCCAGACTTACCGTCACCCGTCCATCCACTCGCATCGTCAAACGTCGCTTAACTTCGGTGATCTATCGGGGGCCGGTGTTTCGATGTAGCTGGGCCATTGCTACTATTGCTACACCTACATAGTACCTAAATAAATTTTTCGATTTATTTTGAAGATTTTATTAATTTTAATATAATTTCTTTTATACAGGGTGGCGCCTCTCATACGCCGCGGAGGCTTCAAGGAGAACGACTGTTTGTATTGAAATTAAATTTTGTGAGCATATGTAGGTTAATTCAGAGCACTTTTTAAAAATATAGAAAGTTCTACAGGGTGTCCCCCAAAAAATTTATATATCAAAGTTGTGTTTTTTGTAATGGAACACCCTATATATTAATTGATTTTCGGATTCTGGGAAAAAATAAAGTTGAATTTTATAAGAGAAGTATATGACTAAAATGTAAGGTTTTTGACATATTTAACATTTTCTAGAAAGAACAATTTTTAAATAACAATAAAAGCTACCTAAATTGGAATTTACCCGGTAGAGCCTAATATATAGTTAAATTAACTATTGTACTTTAAATCAAATTAAAACTTGACCGAAAAAGTTATACATGGTGAGATAAAATTAATACTGAACATTGGTCACCTTTAAAAGCATGTTACTCTTTTATTTTAAATGGATCACCCAGCATATTATTCTGATATTCAATGGAGAATTCATGTCTCTTCACAATACTATTTAGGATGCCTACCCCTCAAACAAAGATTTTCCTAGATATTTTCATTTACATTATTTGATCTGAGTAGATCTTTATTATTTGACAAAATCTAGGGGCATGTGATATGTCTGACGTTACTTCAACATAGCTGTCTAATTAGTCCAACTTTAACAACTAGTTATCATTTTGTGTGAGTTAAAACAAAAAAAAAATCTCAGAAATTTGCCGAAAATGCCAACTTATCCTACATCAGAGAGAAATCATATAATTCTATTGGTTCGTGAATGCAGTGTGCATTCACCAATTAATAGAATACTTAAATGCTTCTGATTTGATCTAGTCTGGTTTTTTTATGGGGGTATGTTAAAAACAGTGTTTACAAAACTCGGCCAACTATTGTCGACAACATGAGAGAAGTTATTGTAGCTGCTATTCGAGGTAGAACTCCACATATGCCTTTTAAAATGAAACGATCCTTTTGCAAAGACCTTCATTTTAAGCAGTTAACAGGAAAGGACGCATTTTGAGCATTTTATTTCATCTAGCTAATTTTTGTCACGCATAATTTTAGGTTTATATCTAGTTTTAATTCTGTAATAATTAAAATATGTTTTAAACGTGTATCTTTTTATTACCGTTTATTTTACTCTACAATCTTTAATTTTTGTTAAATTAACACAAAGCATATCACACAGTCACCCCTAGATTTTTTTTAAATAATAAAGATCTACTGACACAAAATCATAAAAATTAAAATATCTAGGAAAATCTTTGTCTGAGGGGTAGGCAACCTTAATAATATTTTGAAGATATATAAATTCCCCATTGAACACCGGAAAAATATACTATGTGTTCCATTTAAAATAAAGGAATAACTTGCTTTTAAAAGTGACTTAAATGTTCCATATTAATTTTGTCTCACACTGTATAACTTTTCGTGTCAAATTTCAATTTGGTTTAACATACAATGGTTACTGTAATTAAATATCAGGCTATACAAGGTCAACTAACATTTAGGTAGCTGCTATCGAAATTTAAAATTTACTCTTCTTTTTCACAAAATTTGAAATATGTCAAAATCCTTAGATTTTAGGTGTAATCTTCTTTAATAAAACTCACCTTTATTTTTTTCCTAGAAACCGAAAATCAATTAATATATAGGGTGTTCCATTAGAAAAAAACACAACTTTGATGTGTAACTTTGTTGGGGGGGGGTTATGATTCTATATATTTTTATAAAAATGCTTTCAGTTAACCTACATATGCTGCCAAAATTTCATTTCGATATAAACTACCGTTCTCCTTGGAGCTTCCGCGGCGTAGGAGCGGCGCCACCCTGTAGTAAAATTACGTGGGATAGATTTCCAGAAACCAAAAATAATATAAGTTTTTTACTTTTTATCCAAAAATATTTTTTAGGTCATAAGATTTTCTGAGTAATCTAAATAACAAATATCTTATCGAACAAGTTATTGCAGCAAATATTTTTATTTGTTACCAGCCATTTAAATCCCATGTAATAAATAAATGTTTGCATATTCCCGACTTTCTTGCTATCCGTGTTATTTTAATTTAATAGTTCTGATAATATTATTTGATCAAAACATATCGGAATTGAATCAGTTATGAAATTGCATCTATAATATAGTTTAGATTTCTATATTGAATGTTTCATTTTACTGTATGATCGAAAAAAAAACGGCGTCAGAGACAGCTGGTGAATGACAATAGATAATAATTTGGGCGTGGTCAATCTTTAGACGTCGTTTACTAAAAATTTACGTGAAACTTATCAAAATATAACACTAAAATTATAGAAAATTTAAAAAAGTATAGACGGGCACAGAAACACAACTATTATTTCTCAAATTTTAAACTACACTATTTAAAAATCATTTTTACGTATAAATAATTGTTTAAAATTATTAGAGATTGTTTTTGTAGGTACTTTGTGTCTGCTCTTAATCCGACGATCAAGCGGACAGTCATCCAATAACCACAATCATAACAATACCAAACTGGATGTATTTTTTAAAGACTGCAAAGAAAAAAGTGGAGTTGGTGAAAAAGACTATGAACGGATTAAAATGAGGAAGCTTCCCGAATCGGACGAAGGTCGCTGGTTTTAAAGTTACTAATGTTTACTTATTTCATTATGATTTGCTAATTATGAATTTAATAAAACTATGTTATGGTTCTTCCAAAGTCAATTGGATTTATCTGGGACTTTTAATTTTGGCGATGCCTTTGTCGGCGTCATTTTCGGTTTAGTCTGGACATTTGTCCAGACTAGAACTCTTAATTCGTTTGAATTTAGAGTTCTAAACCATCAGTCCAATTGACTTCGGAAAAACCGAATTTTTTTAAAGGTACATAATTATAATGTTAGAATCTTTTCAATATTTCATAAAACATATTTTTTAGGTATCTGCATGGTAGAGTGCCTTTTTGCTAAACTGCATATTATTGAAAATGACAAGTTTAACAAACGTGGATTCGTATTAATATTTACTCCAGCATTTGCCGGTAATATCAAACAACTAAGGAAACTGAGGGAACTTGGGGATGTATGCGACAAGGAAATATATCCGGACAAGGACAATGAATGCAGCCTAACAGGACAGATTCTAAACTGTCTGGGAAGAAATAAAGATTTGTTAAATAGCGTTAAACGAAGCTAATCAACAAGAATATAATGTTATGCACATTAATATGAAGTTGAAATTATGAAGTAGAAAAATATTTATATTCAAGAGCACCGCGGCTTGGAAAGTTTTATGTTACCTACCTATTTTATACAGTCAGCTGTAATATAACACTAAATATATAAAACTATGTAAAATATTTTTGTCATACTCTGTTATACTTTTTATATTCTAATTTTTATAAAGAAAGTCTATAGATAAATTCAATCAATTATTGAGTAATTATTTTTATTTAAATCATCTTCTTATTTTTTAAATTTACGTTTCTCTATAATGATGTTCTTACTGAGAAAATACTTTTTACAATAACTGGCTACCTTTCAACTATACAGGGTGGTCAGAACTGTATTCCGGAAACTTCGACAGCATATTCTGCAGATAAAAGTAAGTAAAAAAGTTCGTATAAATGTATATCCTAAAATACTTAGTTTCGAAGATACAGGGGGTAGAAATTTCATTTTTATTTCGATTTTTTCCAAATAATTTATGAAGTAACGTCAATAATTGAATGAACATTGGTATTTAGGAGTTTTTTGACATGGGAAATTTGATTTTGATGTCAACATGACTGCTACTTGTATAGGGCGCCACCTACATATTTTTAACTGGTTTGAAGAGTAATTTCATTTGTTCCTGTATAAAACTGCTGAGTAAGAAAATATGGATTTACGACATTTTTTACGTAAAAAAATTATCTTGGTAAAAATCGCTACGAGTAATTGTTTTCCAGATATTTTTAATCGAAATTATCAAAACATATCATCATTGACATAAATTAAACATGTTGACTAACTTAAATAGTTATTAGATTGAAATCATAAATTTGAAAAGTTCAACAGAAACTGTTTTATCATATAAAATAAAATATATGATTAATTCAAAAAATAAAAATTTTCCAAATGTAGGTATTATTTCAGATAATCGATTATTTCAAATAACACGTGTTTATTTTTTGTCAATAATAACCTGTATTGACTATTTCTATTCTAAATATCTTGAGAACGGTTGCTCGTAGCGATTTTTAGCGACATTTTTTACGTAAAAAGTCACGAAAATGTATATTTTCCACTCAATAGTTTCATACAGGTACGGACGAGAAAAGTTATTACTCTTCAAAACCGTTAAAACACATGTAGGTGGCGCCCCTACAAATACGAGTCATAGTGACATCAAATTCCTGTTTATCTTGTCACAAAACTTCCAGGTACTTATTTTTTTCCAAATAATGTCGGTACTTCAGAAATTATTTGGAGACAATCGAAATAAAAATGAAACTTCTTCACCCCCTTTCTCCGAAATTAAGAATTTTTTGGACATATATTTATACGAACTTTTTTATTTATTGTTAGCTGCAGAATATACTGCCAAAGTTTCTGGAATACAGTGCGGACCACCCTGTATAAAGCTCAATGTAAAAGATCCCATCTACCTACTCCCAAATTTATAATAACATTTTGTATCATTTTTAGAAGACAAGAAAATCCTTCCTCAACCCTGCATACAATTCTTCCCAACAACACATAATCGTAATAAGGCATATTGTTTCCGCGACAGTACTAAACTAATATAAGATCACAGAATAATTCCCCTAGAAAGAAATAATAAGCCGTGAACGAGGCTGCGATGACGACGTTTATGACGGTTTACGGTCGCCGAAATACATTGTAAAATGACAAACAAAGACAATAACCGGGATTAGGCGCGCAACAATTAGGCACCGGAGGCGACAAAGAGCGGCGCCGCTCTATTCCCACAGGATTACGTGCTGATTCACGACGGCTCGTCGCAACTCACGCCCGGGATTAGAACAGGGATCGACCCTGGAACAGATATATTTTATTTAGTTTTAACGTCGAATAACTGTTGTCTCGCGCGATCCAGCTTTATACTTGCTTTATTGTTGTTTTTTCTATAAAAAACGATAGCATTTGTTTTCATAAAATTTACAGACGGTAGGTATATTTTTAATTTTTCTTATAGGAAATAATCCCTATCGGTAAAAAACGTGTCGACGCCGACGTCCTAAGTGATATCGTCAATGCTAATAATGGCTTACTATGCCCCATATTACATACTTAAAATATATTTTCGAATATACGTTAAAAAGCAGTATAAAAATGTTCACTATAATAAACGTATACCCTGCTGGCAAGCGAAACTTTGGGTCGGCGTTTACATGTATAGGAGTGAATCGCTATGGCAATCTAGTAAGTCGGAGAGAGCAAAAATACGAAGTATTTATTACATAACCACTTAATCTGACGCTAGATTTCTTGGGCTTGGGAAAATACTTGTCTTCTGTCTTTATTCAGTCAGTACATCTTATTTTGCTAAGCGTGTTGACCGTACTAACAGAAAATAAAGCTCTTTAGTTTGCGTATATCATACAGTACGTCTGCTGGATCTGTGTCTATGAAAGGAATGCGGACAACCAAAAACATTTAAATAAACAGCAATATATTTTATACGTCGACTTGACGAGTACGTCACCGTAAATCGCTCCGCCCACTCATTTTATTGGCTTCTTGCAAATTTGTCGAATTTTTATTGATGGGACGCGTCGTCTAATTTTTTATGAAAAACATCGAGAGAATATCGTTTCCCCTCTCACGGATACCCCGTAGCTACAGAACGGACAGACGTACTGTACATTGCATATAAAAAAGTAATATGGTATACGTATATTATTTATACCTTTGAAACTTGAAACGATATACGATTGACAAACGTACGTGTGTACGACGGTACAAACATTATAGCTGTAGTTAAAGCAGAACGTTATATGATTAAAATTTAAAACCACAGATTAAACATTTTTAAAACCATAGAATAAACATTCTGAGCTAAGCATAAGCATAAAGGCGGATTTTGACGACTTGTGTACTTGAAAAGTACGCCAATATTTGCGTACTTGGCAAGTATGCTAGCTTTGTAAACAACATTTTTTGCAACAAGATCGGCACTCACACACCACGACGAGTGACAAATAATTGAACTAGGAAACCGCTCACACGACATTGCAAGTATATGCCGATAACCAATATTTTGCACCCAAGACCAGAAATGCCAGCCGTAGTATACTTAGATTAACAGAAAATAAAGCCTTTTAATATGCATATATTATACGTTGCATATAAAAAAGTAATATGAAATACAAATATTATTTATACCTTTGAAACTTGAAACAATATATACGATTTACAAACGTACGTGTGTACGACGCGACGGTACAAATATTATAGCTATAGTTAAAGCAGAACGTTATATGATTAAAATTTAAAACCACAGATTAAACATTTTTAAAACCATAGAATAAACATTCTCAGCTAAGCATACAGGCGGATTCTGACGACTCGTGTACTTGGCAAGTACGCCAATATTTGCGTACTTGGCAAGTATGCTAGCTTTCAAACATTTTTTGCAACAAACTCGGCACTCACGCACCGCGACGAGTGACAAATAATTGTACTAGGAAACCGCTCACACGACATTGCAAGTATATGCCGATAACCAAAGTTTGTACAAGTACAGGAGTCGTGAGAATTCGCCTTGTAACGGGAATTATTATTGTTATTATTATATTTACTATTGTTAAATGCGGTGAATGCGCTGGACACGTGCGAGGGAACCATTAAGGTTTATACCCCGCAAAAAATCTGGTATTCTATTAAAAGATAGGTAGGTTTTTACTGCTCGTGTGGATATTTGCAGTATGATGGCCAATCAAATAGCCACGAGGGTGTTAGTGAATAATATAACGAATATATTAGCGAGCTGTATCCCGGTATTAGGTGAGTTTTTCTGTTTGCTAATCGTAAATTACTTGTTCCCATGATTAAGGAATTTTTTTGTATTAGATCGAGCCTGAGCACGAGATTGAATAAAGCTGAGCCTGTCGTCTACACATTATTTTCCATCTCCATTTAAACCCCCACAATCCACCCCTTTATAGCCTTAATATATAAAGGCGAATTCTGACGACTCGTGTACTTGGCAAGTACACCAATATTTGCGTACTTGGCAAGTTTACTATCTTTGTAAAAAACATTTTTTTGCAACAAGCTCAGCGCTCACGCGTCGCGACGAGTGACAAATAATTGTACAAGGAAATCGCACACACGACATGGCAAGTATATGCCAGTAACCAAGTACACGAGTCGTCAGAGTCCGCCTTAATAAAATGATCTTCTACTTTGACATTGTTTTTTTTCGAGAGAATGATGACATTAACTAAATTGCCATAAAAAAATAAATAGTACAGGTATATTTTTTAAATAATTTTCATTCTCTCGGGCAAAAAACATTCACAAAACATAACAACTTTGCCACTGGTGGATCTTCGTTAAACGCGGATTCTGACGACTCGTGGACTTGGCAAGTACGCCAATATTTGCGTACTTGGCAAGTATACTATCTTTGTAAACAACATTTTTTTGCAACAAGCTTGGCGCTCCCACATGACATGGCAAGTGTATGCCAATAATCAATGTTTGTACACGAGTCGTGAGAATGCGCCTTTAAAGGCGCATCTACTTGGCAAGTATTTCTTTATTGGCGTACAGGGTCTGGCGAGAATGCGGCATAGTTCCTATTATAAATAACTTAGAAATGCTGGTATAGATGCCCGACGCACCATGCATACCCTGTATACCAATTACAAATGTTTGTCAAGTACACGAGTCGTGAGAATGCGCCATGATAGATCAAGTACAGTTGTACAAATATAGGAAGAGACTTGGGGATAGCACCGGTCGCATTTCATTCGTAGCATTTCACACGTCTGTAGCTATACTTGTTAAGTTGTAAAGTAAGTAAAGTATTTTAAGTTAACGTCTGTTTTTTCTGCTGGAGAAATAGAGAGAAAAAGATAAATGACCATCTAAAAAATATTTAATACTTATTTTGAAAAATATGTAGTATTACGTAAGAGAAAAATGTCATTTAACTTTATTTGGCCTTTCATGAAAATAAACTATAAACAAAAATTTTAAATATGTCTCAGTTGTTTCAAATATACTTATATCTACC